CCTTCCGCGGGCCCAGCCGGGTCCGCCATCCCCGGGGCAGCGGTGTGGAGCTCCTCCCGGGCACCCGCAGCGGATCCTAGAGTCCAGGCCGCCCGCCCCCCCGCCGGCCGGGTTCACCTACCGATCCGAGCGCCGCCGCGCCCGCGCGCACCGCGACTCCGGAACCCGGCGGGCCGCCTGGGAGGTGCCGCGAGGGGCGGAACCACGCGCCGTGACGCCACGGGGCGGAGCCCTATGCCACGCCCACACATGCCCACGGCCCCGTCCACCAACGAGCCACACCCCCTCCAGCGGCCCTCGCTGTCAGCGGCTGCTCTGAGAGACCCGCCCATACGCACGCCCCCGGCCACACCCATTTGGGCCACGCCCCCTCCGCGACTGGTGAGCCCGGGGACTCCGGCCTTGAAGGAGACTCCTGGAGGGGCGGGGCCGCGCGCCACGACGTAGGCGGGGCTGGGCTCTGAGCGACCCCGCCCACAAGCCGCCCCTGCGCCTCGGCCACGCCCCGCCACCCGCTGTGTTGAACGGAGTCTGGCCCTGGCCTCGCGGTCTGAGTCGCAGCTTGTGCTGGCCCCACCCGCTGACCCTCAGCTCTCCTCTCTAGCCTCTTCCACGGCTCTCACCCACCCCAACAGACTTGTCACACCTGGAGTAACACTGCTGCCTTCCAGGGAATTGTGCACAGGACGGCGCCCCAAAGCCGTCCAGCGTGAGACCTGTGGGGCTCACAGCTGGCTGTGCAGGATGGAAGCAGATCAGGCTGGAGGTAGCTCAGTGAACGCACCCCCCTGCCTCCTCCTGGAGACCGACAGCAGGACTGCGCTGTGATTTTAATGCACCGTACACCCGAAGGAAAGGGAGAAAGGGGTGCAGGCTGTCTTCCCACTACGCTCTCTTACCTTTTTTAATAACTACATATGTATGTATGTGTATGTTACCTATTTAAAATTAATTTCTGGGACTGGTGACATGGCTCAGCGCTTCAAAGCCTGAAACCTACATAGAGGTGGAGAGAACTGACTCCACAAAGCTGTCCTCCACATCGTGCTCCACACAATCAATCAATAATAAATACTTAAATAAATTTCTGGGGCTGGAAAGATGGTTCAGTGGGTAAAAGCACCTACCACTAAGACTCAAGACCTGAGTTGGATCCCCGGGACCCACATGGTAGGAAAGAACCTTCTCTTGCAAGTTGTCCTCTGACCTCCACATGCATGCTGTGGAATGCATGTGCATATACATACACAAATAAAAAATAAAAAGATAAATGTCATAAAACTCGGGGGGGGGGGTTGAGACAGGATCTTCCTGTAGCCCCAGCTGGTGTGGAACTCACTATGTAGACCAGGCTGGCCTCAATCTCACAGAGATCTACCCCACTGCCCCTTGAGTGCTGGGATTAAAGGCATTACACTCAGCTAGATGCCATAAATTTTTTAAAATATATTTTGATCTTTTTTTTATTTTATGTGTATAAGTGTATTCCCTGCATGTCAGAAGAGGGCTTTGGATTCCCCTGGAACTGGAGTTAAGGACGGTTCACAGCCGCCATGTAGGTGCTGGGAATCGACCCTGCTCTGCCAAAGCAGTCAGTGCTCTTAACTGCTGAGCCATCTTTCCATGCCCAATGCCATAAAATTTTTTAAAACTAAAAATGAGTTTCTGCACTGGTTACAGCCATAACTACAAATGTGGAAGTGCTGCCGAAACCAGGAATCACAGATGAGTGTTCAGTGTCCATTCATTCATGTGTCCGGTAAAATGGTACTGCCCTGTGGAAGTTGCTGGACTGGCAAAATGAAGTCTCTGGCTGGGTGAAGCCAGTTACCAACAATAAAACCCTATGACAAAATGTTTATGAGGGACTGAGTGCCTAACATGACACCACAAATTAATAGTGACTCGATGCTTTATAGTGTCTCTTTGTGGGTAAGGGAGCTCAAAGGTGGAGGTCTGAAGGGGAGCATTTGTTTAGCAGCATCTGCTGAGCACTGGGCACTGGGATTTAGGGAGTGAGCAGGGCATCTAGCGCCCACATCCATATAGAGGAATCTGGCCCCTCAACAAGCCTTCACAGTACAATGTCTGCAATGGGCCAGGCAGGAGCAGAGAGCTAAGCTGATCCAGGGAGGGAGAGTGACCTGCTCACACTACAACTGAGGCACAGGCAGGGTGGAGTGTGCTGCTAGTCATGGGGCTGGGGGAGCAGCAGGGGCAAGAGCCAGCAGGAAGGAGGTGAATGGGAGACTTACACAGAGCAGAGCACAGTAGACAGAATGTGGAGGAGATGAGAAGGGGCTCCTGTGGGCTGGGGAAGGAGTGGTGGATGTCCAGCTGGGGAAGGGCATAGCTAGCTGTGCTTTCTGCAGAGATCCCTCTGGGTGCTCTGGAGGAGCCACACAGGGAGAAAGGCCGGCAGGCTATTGACATAATTCAGGGGAGATTAGGTATCCACCGGAGGGATAAGAGCAAGGAGGAAGTGTTCTGCCTCCAGAGGTGATGGGAAGATAGAAGTGGCAGGCTTCTGAGACACTGGGCTGGATCAGCCCTTCTCACAGTCACCCAACTTAGCAAATCTGCAGGTCTTGATCTGACTCTCACCTCCTACAGGAAGTTTAATTGCCCCATCGCTGTAGATCAGCTTGGGGATCTGTGCTGGATAGCTTTAGTGTCAACTTGACACACCTGGGTTGAGGGAGCCTCAATTGCGGGATTGCCTCTATTGGACTGGCCTGTGGCCATGTCTGAGGGGCACCTTCTTGATCAGTGATGTGGGCGGGCCCAGCCCATTGCAGGTGGTGCCACTCCTGGGCAGGTGGGCCTATGTTACATAAGAAAGCAAGCTGAGCAGGGGCCAGGGGAGCAAGCCAGTAAGCAGTGTTCCCTCCATGGCCTGTGATCCAGCTTCTGCTTCCAGGTTCCTGCCCTGAGTTCCTACCTTGGGCTCCCTGATGAACTACGACCTGGGAGATGTAAGCTGAATAAATCCTTTCCTCCCCAAGTTGGTAGTGGTCAGAGTGTTTTGTCACAGCAATGAAGAAACAAACTAAGACAGGATCCAATATGACTTTGAAGGCAGGTGGGTGAGCCAGCTCTTTCCTGTCCTTGTTCCTGACCTGGGACCACCCAGGATGAGCACCTTCTTCACCTGCTCCCAACCCACCTGTCTCTCCAGCAGTTCACAAACTTGCCACATTGGAAACCTCCGATGAATACCTGTCGAAAACAGGGAGGGAAAATGTGGTGTCAAGCACAGCCAGGGCAAACGCTTCCAGTGGCAGCTTTCAAGATGTGTGTGCTGTGTCCATCAATGGCTATGCTGTCTTCAAATGCTACAGGCACCTGAAGCTTCTTAAGGGGTGTGGCTGAGTGGTAGAGTGTTTACCTAGAAAGCTCAAAACCCTGGTTCCATCCCCAGCACTGCCAATTTTTTTTTTTTTTTTAAAGCATATTCAAGCAGCCAAGTGTGGTGGCGCACGCCTTTGATCTCAGCCCTCAGGAGGCAGAGGCAGGCAGATCTCTGTGAGTTCAAGGCTAACCTGGTCTACATAGCAAGTGCCAGGCCAGCTGGGGCTACAGGGAGACCCTATCTCAAAAAGACCAAAAAAAAAAACAAAAAACCCATATTTAAGGGGTTGGAGAGATGGTTCAGCAGTTAAGAGCACTGGTTGCTCTCACAGAGGACCCAGGTTTAGTTCCCAGCACCCACATGATAGCTAACTAACTCCAGTTCCAGGATATCGGACAACCTTTTCCGGCCTCTGTGGGTCTTGCACACATGTGGTGCACTTACGTAGATGCATGCAAAACATTCATACACATAAAATAAAAATAAAAAGACAAGCACTGGACAGATGGCTCAGCAGTTAAGAGCACTGGCTGTTCTTGCAGAAGATCAGGATTCAAATCCCAGCACCCACATGGTGGCTAACAACCATCCTTAACTCCAGTTCCAGGGGATCTGACACCCTCTTCTGTCTTCCTTGGGCACTGCACACATGGATGCACTTACATACTTGTAGGCATAACACTCATACATATAAAAAACAAAAAGGTAATCAAATTCTTAAAATAAATAGATAAAAAATGTTAAAAATAAAAATGTAAAGTTCATTCAGTGCTGGAGAGATACTCAGTGGCTAAGAGCACTTGTTGCTTTTCCAGAGGACCTGAGTTCAATTTCCGGCAACCATGTCTGGCTGCTCACACTGCCTGTAACTCCAGCTATTTGGAGATCAAGGCCTCTGGCCACCTAGGGCAACTGCACTTATGTGCATATACCCCCACACAGGCATACACATATACTCATATTTTCTAAAAAAGCAAAATGATAAAAAAGCATCTTCAGGGGCTGGCTGAAGAGATAGATGACTCAATAGTAAAGAACACTGACTGCTCTTGCAGAGAACCTGGGTTCAATTCCCAGCACCCACATGGCAGCTATCAACAATCCAGTTCCAGAGGACTCTAACACCCTCTTCTGACCTCTGTGGGCATATGCACTTACACAATGCAGGCAATACACTCAACACATAAAATAAAAATAATAAATAAAAAATGTTTAAAGGCATATTCAGCCTGAGTTTGCCCCTCCCAGCAGCTGTCTGAGATGTATATTATCACCCCAACTCTGCAGAGGAGGAAACAGAGGCTCCATCTGGAACTGACTTGACTGAGGATGGCAGTTGGTTTTTCAGTACTAATGCAAGCTCAGGTGTCTCACCTTCCCCTACCTTCCCCACCCTCTGGCAGTCGGTCCCTTCTCTGGAGGGGAAGGATGTGGGGTTACTATTTTCTCTCTGGGTCACCACTCCAGAAAGCATTCTTTGATCTCTGACTAAGGTGGACTGGCTGCCATAGCAACATGAGAAATGCTCATTTCTTTTTGTTGGTGGTGGTGGTTCCCCCCACCTCCCGGCCTTTTTGAGACAGGGTCTCCCTGTATCCCCAGCTGACCTGGAACTCGCAGAGATCTGTCTGCCTCTGCTCCCCAAGTGCTGGGATTAAAGGTATATGCCACCACGCCTGGCTTGTTCTGTCATTTTTAAAATAGATATGTGTTTGTGTGTGTGTGTGTGTGTGTGTGTGTGTGTGTGTGTGTGTGTATGCGCGTAGGCCAGGGGACAACCTTGGGTGTCATCCTCAGGAATGCCTGCCGGCCATACACCTCCTTTGAGATAGGTCTCTTTTTAG